GAAGAAGAGTGTCCGCAGCCCGATCGACCTGGACGGACGAGCTCCCCAGCGTGCTGTGGTCGCTGCGCACCACCCCCAAAACTGCGACCGGAGAATCCCCGTATAGCTTGACTTTCGGGACCGAGGCCGTCCTACCGCCCGAGATGACTGTTGCCACACTTCGAACAAGGAGCTACGAACAGGTGGCCTCGAACCAAGGACTCCGCGCCAGCCTCGACGTGCTCGAGTAGCGACGCGCCGACGCACACCTGAAGGCCCTCTCTCACCAGAGAGCCGTCGCAAGGGTCTACAACAGAAAGGTGCAACCCAGACCAGTCAAGTTAGGCGATCTAGTCCTACGGAGGGCCGAAGTCAGCGACCCGACCCAAACGAGGGGGAAGCTGGCCCCCAAGTGGGAGGGACCTTACCGGGTCACCGGTGTGGTTCGACCAGGTACCTATCGACTCACAACGATGGACGGTTCCTCCCTACCGAGGACATGGAACATCCAGAACCTTAAAAAATTCATCGTCTGAGGTCCTTGGCAACCGCTCCAGAGTCGAAGTTGTGCAATTTTTGAAGTTTAAAAGACACTGGGAAAAGGTTCTTTTATTCACGAAGCATAGGATTACAAGACCCGACTTTCGAAAGACATACTGGGAGAAAGTTTTCTTTATAAAGCAAGGGGTCACAACTGTGACCAGACCCGAAGGGCACAAAAGTTACAAAATGCGGAAGCTGCCCGGCTGAGCTGACCTCCAGACCGCCCTAACCGTCGGATCCCCCCATGCCATCATCGAAGGGAACTTCCTCCGGCATGTCCACATCCAAGTCCTCAGGATGCAAGACAAACGGATCCGCCTCCACTTCCAGCCCGGGATGGCTCGTCTGGAACCGGCCAAGGGCGATTCGGTACCCGTACTCGTAGGTAACCTGCCTCGACCGAGCCAGCCCGAGCTGGAAGCCCGGTGACTGTTTATAGGCCTCGATTATCTCCTTCTCTTTCTCCGGCCGCCACTCCCGCTCGGCCGCCAGGGCTTCCGAGGCCCCCTTCACGTCAGCCAGGGCGCCCTCTAGCCGCTGGGTCAGGGCGGCCGCCTCGCCTCGGGCCAGACGAGCCTCTGACTGCGCTCCCTCCAGGAGTCCCCGGAGATTGCCTTTCTCCTCCTCGGCCGCCCTCGCCTCGGACCTTAAGCGAAAGACCTCGGCCTCCAGCGCCAACGCGCGCTCGTCGGCCGCGCCCCTGCCTCAGCTCGGAGACGTGCCGCCTCCGCCTCGAGCTCCGAGGAGCGCTGCTCGGCCACCGCAACCGCCTCCGGAGCTGCCCCGGCCCGAACCTCCTCGAGCTGCTTGCGCAGCTCGGCATTGCTGTCGCACAAAATTCCAAGGGCTCGACCCGCATCGCGAACACGGTCAGCGAGTGCCATCGCGTAGTGCTGGCCCTGCAAA